CGCTGTCCGGCCTGCTGGCCATCGGGGCTCCTGTTGGAACTCACGTCTGGCCAGAGCCAGGGCATCGGGGAGCCGCACGGGGCCCTCTCCCAGCTGGTGAGGGTCCCCCCTGGTCCTCAGTCCTGGCCATCAGACAGGGAAGGATGTGCAGCGGGTCTCGCATGCGCTCTGCGGCTGTGCAGAACCGGGAGGAAGGATGCTGGTAGCACCGGGGCCTCAGGGACCACCACGCACTGTGACGCACTCGTAGCTCCAGTCACTGCATCCTCCGTGCCTGGGGAGGGGCGCGGGCTAGTGGTGTGCATCTTTATTTCGTAGAGGAGGGAACAGGCTTAGAAAACTTAACTAATTTGCCAGGATCTCAGGACCAACCCTGATTTATTTTTTTTAGTCGTTATGTAAAGAGAAAACAAAGAGAGAGATTTACCTGGTGCAAGCTAAGGGTCTGGGTTGGTGTTTCCGTCTATGTCTTCTGACTCCAGAATGGCAGCCTTCCCAGTGGTTTTTATTTATTTTATTTTATTCCCCCCCCCCAGTGATTTTTAAATACATATTTATTTTTATTTAATAATTCTGGATGGAGCCTGAAGCCCAGACACGTGCCCTGACCGGGAACTGAATCAGTGGCCTCCTGGTTCACAGGTCGATGCCTACCCCCTGAGCCACACCAGCCAGGCTTTCCAGTGATTTTTTAAGTTTGACGCCGACTCACCGATTCCAGACATGCCGTGCCCCCTAAGCACCCCCTCCCCACCCCAGCTCTCTTTAGGGAGTGGCTTTCTGTGTGCTTTGTGGGGAGTGAGGGAGATGCGACTGCTGTGCAAGCAGCAGCGCCAGGCCGGTGCTCTGCCCTCGGAGGGTAATTTCACACAAAACCCGCTCCGGGGCCAGGGGCTTTAGAACACATTCAGATTTCTGTCTCCCGACTTCGGGGTGCACAGCTGCAGCCCCCTGTGGAGACTTTGCTTAGACGCCAGCCGATCAGACGCCCTCTGTGCTCTGCTCCTGCAGCCTGTCGTTTCCTGGCGGACGAGGCCCCGGTCCTCATACCTGGGGTGCAAGCTGCTGAGTAAGAGGCAGAGTGCGCCTCTTCCAGGCGTATGACGATGCCCGGGAGCCTCAGTTTCTTCATGTGTAAAACAGGCCCAGAAACAAAATCTGCTCAGCACAGCAGCACCTGGGGCACTCGATGGCTCTGTCAGGGCGAGGATGGTGACGGGGGTGAGGTCAGGGGAGCTGGCTGCTAAGACGGGGCAGAGCAGAAAGCCTCCCAGCGGGATCACAGAGCCAGCGGCTCCCCAAATGCCCTCTTCAGCAGCACAGGCAGAGCCTGGGAAGGACTGCTCACACGCGCGGGAAGCGGGAAGCGGGGAGACGCTCGGTCTGCGTCTCTGCAGAGGCAGGACTCCTCGGAGGCCTCGTGGGAAACAGGAGCAATACGGATCCTTTAGATTAAAAATAAACCGAGCACAGCAGATCTGGGCCTGTGGTGAGGAGAGGCGTGCGGGCGTAGCGTCGCTGAGCTGGGTTTGAGTTCAGATCCCCGCTCGCGAGGCACACGGCTGGGGACAAGTCACTCGACCTTCCTATACCTCGGTTTCTTCACCTGGAAAATGGGGTCACGCCTGCGGCCTGAGGGACACAGGATGAGATCATGGATGCAAAGGGCCTCGCTCGGAGTCGGTGAGCCCGTCTACAGGAGCCAGGAAGCGGGAGCGGAGGCGGCGAGCTTCCCTGCCCGGGCCTGGCCGCTGAGCTCTGAGCCCAGTGGCCTCTGCGCAGACTCAGTCTGAGCGCACAGGCGGCCAGGCCCCCAGGAGACTCGAAGGTGACACAGAGAGAGCACGGGGCCTCCTGATGGCCACGGGCCGGCTGCATGGCACTCGGGCTCCCCTGGGCCTGGGTGACCCCAGGGTTGGACAGCGTCCCTCGATGGAAGGGACGCCCCGGGGGCTCCTTCACCCGCTCCCCTCCCTGTATACTGAGTGTCCGGCGTTTTCCAGGGACTCCGAGGCCCACTTGTTTGCAGCCTCCCCCTTCGCGCGGGACGCCCAAAGCCCTCGCAGACATGACAGTGCGCGAGTGGAAGCCATTTATTTAAACCCTCATTGCTGCTCCGGGGCGGTCAGGCCGGGTGACCAGGGCCAGGCCCCGCTGCCCACACAGACGGAGGGCTCAGCGGGCGGGGCCGGCTCTGTGGCTGGTTCTCGGGAAGCGGCCGGAGCACGGCTGGCCCAGACCCTGGCGGAGCGCCCGCTGCGGGCCTTTGCGTCTCTGTGCGGGAAGGAAGGTGGCGGCAGGTCCGGACCGCGGTGCCGTTCCCTGGGCTCTGGGTGTCAGCCTCCCAGGGCTCCTTGGCGACACAAAGCAGCGGTGTCCAGATCCTCTCACGAGGGTGCGGAGCTCAAAATAAACACGGCGCCTGTCTTTGGAAGTCACATCCTTCCTCCAGGGGCTCGGAGAAGACGTGTCTGACGTCCGCCGTCCGTCCGGGCGCTGCGCTATTTTTAAGGACGGCTCTGCTGGCTTCCGCTGCACCCGCCCGCCTGCCAGCGCGGGGGAATGGGGGCGCCGCTCGGTTTGGAGCAGAAACACCTCCGCCATGGGGACTCCCGGCGGCCTCAGAGCCCGGGGGGCCGGAGTGAGAGACTGGCCGTCTGACCGAGGAGCAGGAAGACAGCAGCGGCAGGAAGGACAGACGGCAGGGGCGGAGAGGAACACGTGAGCCATGTCACGCCTTCGGGGGAAGACACCGGGACCAGACAGATGCTCACAAGAGGAGCAGCACGTGACACGTGGACACTGAGGCCACGGGAGGCCTTCCCGGGCCCAGCCCGGCCGCCGGCGGGCCGATGAGCAGCCGGCCCAGCAGCGAGGGAGACGCAGGGAGCATGGTCGGCGTGCTGCTGTGGCCCGTGGCATGAGCCGGCCACGGTTTACGCTCGGTTCCCGTGGCAGAGCCTCCCCCTGCCCACGGGCAGAGCCGGATGAAGTGCAGCATTGCCTCTGCTTCCGCAGCTCCTGCTCTTTCTCGGTGCTTCTCCAGCAATTCGTCCCTCTCCCCCCAGTACCCAACACGGTCCTAAAAGACTGCGGGGGAGGGGTTTGACCCTCCGGCCCCGTGTCCGGGCAGCAGTGATCGGGGCTGAGCTCCGGGTTTGGCCGTTCCCTGCAGCCAGTCATTCTGGAGTGGTTCCATTCCGTCTGCTTATCTCTGGCCCTCGCTGCTCTCAGGGCCAGCTGGGAGCTGTCAGGAATGGGGGATGCATATTTTTTCGTCCGTTCTCTGGACCAGGGGTCAGCCAACCCGGGCCCAGGAGCCGAATCCAGTTGGGCGCCTGCTCGGTTGTATCGGCGCGAGCGAGGCCTGTGCCGGGTGGCCCGGGCCTGCTTGCTTTCCTGCCACGTGGCGGAGCTGAGCGGCCGCAACAGCAGCCCCGAGCCCGGCCACGCTAAGCCTGGCCACGCTGAGATCGGGGCATCGACTCTCGGGATCCGCACAGAGAAAGCCTGCGGCCTGCTCTGGAGGGCCTGGCCCGGAGCCCTGCCCTGCTCGCCAGCCGGGCTCCGCGTGGAGTGCTGGCAGCTGAAGGGACTCCCTTTCCCGTGAAAAGGCCTCTGTCTGGAGCATTGGAAGGAACGGCAGGAAACGGTTCTGATCCGTGCCTCAGGGAGCTTCGGTTCTGTCCCTCCTCCCCGCCTGTCTCCGGTCCACTCTGCCTCCTCTCCTCGCCGCTGAACAGCAACTGGACCTGGAGAGGCCTGGCCCGCAGACGTGGCCGCCCCTCGGTGTGTGTGAAAGGCCGGCGCTCCCGTTGGGAGTTACCAGCGCCCTCGCTTCTCTCCCGTGTCCATCCTCCAGCGCGGAGGGGCCGGCTTCGCAGCGGGGCCTCCCGGGATGCAGGCTGGGGGAATCCTGGGGAGATGCTGAGATACTGAGGGCATCTTCTCTGTGTGTGGGGTTCGCCCTGAGCGGTGGTGAGCTCCCCCGGAGGTAAGATGGACAGTAACGTGGCTCTGGAATTCCGCTTACAGCAGCACTGAAAAACACACCAAAAGCCCCAAAGACGGGCTGTAGCTTCTGTTTGTCTTTCCTCTGAGCGAGCCAGCTCCGTGGCGGGCAAACTGGGGCTCGCGAGCCACAGGCGGCTCTTTGGCCCCGTGAGTGTGGCTCTTCCACAAAACACCACGGCCTGGGCGAGTCACTGTTGAAGAAGTGGCGTTAGGAGAAGTTTAAGTTTAAAACATGTGGCTCTCCAGAGACATTTCAGTCGTTGGACTGTGGACACTGGGCTCTGTGGGCGAACGAGCTTGCCGACCACTGACCCAGTCGCTCGGTTTGAAAGCCATTTATTTGGATGACAGATAGGTAGATGTGACTAGATAAATAAAGTGAAATCGAGACTCGAAGCAGTGGTTACGATACACACACACCGGGGGCCTCGCCCTCGGCCAGGGCTCCGCCGCCGGAACAACGGCTCAGAAGTGACCCTGAAACCCTGGTCCTCCCGCGGAAAGCAGCTCCAGACCTCCAGGCCCCGTGCAAGACGCTCCATTTCCATCTGGCTCCCGGCACCCACAGGGCCCCTGCCTCCTCTGCACCCTGCTCTCCCCCAGCGAGGCCTCCGGGCCCCTGCCTGCCCTGGAGCCCGCCGCCTCCGCCTGGTCCAGCCCCGGGGGCCACCGCCACCCCCCCGGGCCCAGGACACCGTGGGGCGCCCCGTGCTCCGCGCACGGAGAGGACAGAGCTGCGGAGCGCACGTGGCACGGCCCCTCCTCAAGGCGCAAGTGCGGGCCCCGCCGGCCCCGAGTCCTCGCTGCCCTGGGGAGTCTCTGCCGCCTGCTGATGCCGCTGTTGAAGAAGTGGCATCCAGCCCACAGGCCCCTCCCGGTCCTGCGCGCGGCACCCACGTCTGTCCGTCGTGGCAAAGGTCCTGGGATGTCCACAGAGGAGGACATGGACGGCGTGGAGGAACGGTCTCCTGGCCAGGCCTCCGGCCTCACCTCCGGATGTCAGCGTGCTCCGCCTGCTCGTCCTCCCACTCGCTGCTCCCCTGTGTCCCCTGGGCTGCAGCCCGGCCCCGGGCGTGGGCGTTCGGGGGGCTCCTGCTGCCCTGCTCGCCCTTGGCGAGGCCTCGGCCCGTCTCCCCGCTGCTGGGCTCCGCGTGGTGGGCGCGCGGGGGCCTGGCCCGGTCCGCCTGCAGGTGGCGCTCGGGGGGCGCGGTGGGCGGCCTCTGCAGGGCCGACGTGCAGAAGCTGAGGATGGAGCACAGGCCGCCCCAGCTCTGCTCGCACTGCGCCTGCACGCTGTGGGTGACGGCCTCCTTCACCTCCTCCCCGCAGGTCAGCAGCAGGTTCACCAGGTCCACGTAGGGCCTAGAGGGCAGAGCGGAGAGAAGACGCCCATGCCACCAGCCCCGCGGCCTCCGGGACCGCGGCAGGGGAGACGGAGAAGAGCTTTCTGCAATTACCTCCTGCCTCCACCATATTCCATGGAGACCTGGTCGCAACCACCCGTTCCTGGACGTACTAGGCCCCCCAGCCAGGCTTCGGAGGGACCGAGAGGCCCAGACAGAAGCCACCCGGGACACGGGCCTGACAGTGCACAGGTGCGCAGGATGGGGGGCGGCGCCTCTGGGAAGGCGGGTGAGGGTGCAGCTGTGCGGACAGTGCTGGGAGGGCGGGCAGCGCTGGGCATGCTGGGAGTTTGCTAAGCAGGAGGCTCTGGTGGGCGTGGCCACGGGTCTGGGGTCAGGGAAGCCAGAGGAGTGACCACTAGGCAAGTGGTACAGGGTCTTCAATTCCCAGCTGGGGCCCCAGCCGGTTTGGCTCAGTGGATAGAGTGTCGCCCTGCGGACTGAAGGGTTCCGGGTTCAGTTCCGGTCAAGGGCATGTATATTGGTTGCAGGCCCTCCCTAGCCAGGGCCCTGATCCCGGCAACCAATCGCTGTGTCTCTCTCACATCAATACTTCTGTCTTTCCCTCTCTAAAAACCAGTGGGAGAATATCCTCTGGTGAGGATTAACAACAAAAAAAAATTAAAAATAATTAAAAGAAACAAACCCACAAGCAAAGCGGGGAGCCCGTTTGGTGAGAGAGGGGGCGCTGCCGCAGGTTTGGGGCTGGAGGCGCGGCAGGCCGGCCCCTGGCACAGGGCGTCGCAGGGCCAGCTGGCCTTGCTCCGGGGGTCGCTCTCGCAGACAAGCCTTCCCCCTGCCCAGCTCCCCAGACACACGTCCCCATGTCTGTGTGGGCCCCGGTGAAGGGGGGCGGGGAGTTACGGGAGGCGCCCGCTGTGCACCTGGAGGAGCTGACCCCGTGGGGAGGGCGGGGGCAGGCCGCTTCCGGGAGGTCAGGTCCCCCAGTGCAGCCTGTGCCTGGAGGAGCGGCCGAGGGCGGGGCTGGCCGCCTGAGCATCTTCCCACCTGGCTCTCCCGGAGCTGGAGGGGAGGGCTGGCCCCGAGGCAGCGGGTTTGCAATGAGAGCCAGCTGTCTGTGGGAGCAACAGGTGCAGCTCAGAGGGACGCGCCGGCGGCCCGGGCCATTCCAGCCGCCACGGATCTTTCTTGCAGGAAAGACAGGAGGAATGAGCGCCGCCAGGAGCCTTGCTCCGGGGCTGGGAGCTGGTGCAGGAGGCGGGGGCAGTGTGCCCGCTCTTGATCCTCACGGCCTGGCTGGGAGAGGTGTCGCAGCTACGGTCTCTCCTGGCACAGCCGCAGCGGGCCTTTCTTAGCCCTCACTGGCCTCTTCCACCCCCAAGGCGGGTGTGGAATATTGCATGCGGCTCACCAGCATTCCCGAGGGAGCCAGCCCTCGGCCGGCAGTTCCGGGTCTCTCTGCCCGTGAGCATGGCAGCTCCGGGTCGTCCCCTCGGGCAGGGAAAGCCCTCTGGACCGTGAGGTCGCTTCGAAGGACCACGGCTTTCTCCCTGTGAGCCTGGACCACGTGGCTGTAGGTTAGCCACGTACTGCTTTCTATGCCCGTTGGCCGCGGTGCCTGGGCAGACTGGGTGAGGCTTGGGGAGCAGTGTATCGCCATTTTGGCGAGTCAGTCCTCACGTTGTAACTGAGGGAACAGTCCTCATCTCATAGATGGGAACATGGGTTCGAGGTGGGGAGAAGGTGGCTTTCGGAAGCTTCTGGGCCTGGGGGAGCGTGGGGCTGGGCTGAGCGTGGAGGGGAGATGCTTTGGGGGGTGCCTGTGTGCATGGCTGGTGGGAGGGGCTTGCTCTCAGGGAGGCCGCGAGGGCAAGGAGGACAGTGATGACACTGGCCTTCGTGGGCTGAGCAGTGCGGGCACAGGGCGGCACAGGGGAAATGGCCAACTCGTGCCAGTTCCCTTCTGCCTCTTGAAAACCAGGTCCCGACCGCCTTGGGGAGCTCAAGTTCACCGAGTGCGTCTGCCTGGCAGCCCTGCCCGTCCCTGCCACGTCTCTGGGCTCCGGAGCAAACTGCAGGGAGCCTGCCTGGCCTCTGGGGACTACACCAGCCCCCTCTTCCCGTTTGCTCCCCGGAGGGAGGCCTCCTTGGCCAGGGGGTCGGCCTGCCGATGCCCTCAGAACCTGGAACCCGAGGTGGACCCGCGAGGGCGGGCCCAGCGGCGTGCTCCTCCCGCCCTGAGCTGTGACCGTGGGTGGGGAGGGGGTGTGGGGGGACACGTGTGCTAATCAGAGCCGCGCTCCTGGCTGGCGAGCTGGCGCGGTGCCTCCTCGCCGTGTCTAATGACGAAGCCCAGCTCTCCGGCCTGGGTGTCGGCGGGGCCGGGGAGGTTAAAAATACTGAGCGGGGACGGGCCTGGAGGCCGCCAGCACCCAGCGACAGAGTGAGTGAGTGGTGGCTGAGGCGAAAGTGAGGTGAGGAGGTGACGGTGTTTGGGGGTGATAGGGATGCGGGGGGGGAGAATGGGGGTGACTGTGATTTCGCCCCCTGTAAAGCAGGAAGCAAATTCAGCGCTCATTTCTCTGGTCTGTGGCCAATGCCACCCATGCTCCAATGTCTTCTCGCTTTGGGGGGACTGAGATCCTCTGCACCCCAATCCGTTAAGGTGGTCACAGAACCTGAGACGCTCACGCAGGTGAAGGGGCCACACCGTCGTGGCTAGGGGAGAGGCAGCGGGGAGGAGGGGGGAGGGGAGGCAGCGGGGGGGGGGAGGGGGAGGCGAGGCAGTGGGGGGAGGGGAGGCAGCGGGGGGGGGGCGGCGGAGGGGAGGCAGCGGGGGGAGGGGGAGGGGAGGCAGCGGGGGGGGGGAGGCAGCGGGGGGGGAGGGGAGGCAGCGGTGGGTGGGGGAGGGGAGGAAGCGGGGGGAGGGAGAGGGGAGGCAGTGGGGGAGGGGAGGCAGCGGGGGAGGGGAGGCAGCAGGGGAGGGGAGGCAGCAGAGGGGGGGAGGGGAGGCAGTGGGGAGGGGAGGCAGCAGGGGTCGGGTGGGGGGCGCTGGCTTAGCAGGAGGCCGGGGCACTGGGTCCCGGGCAGGGAGTGTTCTTAACGGAGGCCCAGGCTTCCTTGCGGGATGCACCGCCTGCATTTCCACTCGGGCTGGGGCGGGGGTCCCGAGGCTGTTCTCAATGACGTGAGGAGCCCTCTGGGAGGAAGGGGACTCCAGAGAGCCACAGCGCTTGCTGCTTCTTAAACGTGAAGGCGGTGTGTGGGGTGTGTGTGTGGGTGTGTGTGTGTGCTGGGGGGGGGGGGGCTTTAAAACATGCAGTTTTCTGCCAGGCCAGTATGGCTCAGGGGTTGAGTGTCGACCTATGAACCAGGAGGTCATGGTTCGATTCCTGGTCAGGGCACAGGCCCAGGTTGCGGGCTCAGTCCCCAGGTGTGGGGTGTGCAGGAGGCAGCTGATCAATGATTCTCTCGCATCATTGATGTTTCTCTCTCTCTCTCTCCCTTCCTCTCTGAAAACAATAAAAATATGTTAAAACAAAAACAAACAAAAACCCCCTGCAGTTTTCTGAACCAAGACACTTCTCCAAGAAGACAGCCTCTTGGCTCCGGGACCATAGGGCAGATTTACAGACCAGCTCCCCTGGGCCAACATGCTGTCTCTCTGGAACGCGGGTTTAGGACAAATGACCACCCGAGTTTCTCAGCCACACGGTGCCAGCATCTCCCGGACTCTGGGGAAGGCCGTTCGCAGCGCTCTCCTTCGGTCCCGGGGATGCATTTGGGAAGAGGGGAAACCCTGGCCTCAAGGGGCACCAGTGAACCTCTGACAGTTGCGGGGGCGTGGAGAGGGGGCGCGCACAAGGGGAAGGGGGACAGGCCAGGACAGGTCAGGAGCAAGGAGGTTTGGGGTCTGTTCCGACAGCTGGCTTCAGGCCTGCGTCTCACCAAGTCCCCAGTTGGAAAGGAGAAATCTAACCCCGGAGGGAGGTCTCTCCGCTCTTGGCCTCGCTCCCCCGCAGCTACAGGGGGCCCGTGAGCTCGGTCTCGCGGGGAGAGATAACGGGGAGATCCAGGGAAAGCCCCTGGCCCGGGGCCTGGCCCGCTCAGAGCGGACGGCACGTCACTCCGGCTGTTATTGTCGATGCCACGGTCGCTGGCCTCGGCACAGGTATTTGAAGGGTAGAAAGAACCCATCAGGCATTCGTGTAGCGCAGAGAAAGGGCGCCACCGCTTTGCTCTCGTCAGGAGCTGCCCGTGGAGAGATCCTGGGCGACACTCACCGGGCGTGGCCAGTGCCCTAGACCCGCGGAGAGCGACAGAGGGTGCTGCCCCCCAGATCTAGGTGGTGTGTGGGGGGTGGGGAGCAGCCTGTGGACATTGCCGGCGGGGAGGCGGGGGGGAGAAGGCGGGGAGGCATGCCATGAACGAAGGAGCCAGAGTTCATACAGCCCTCTTGACAGCCCGGTGCTGGCACTGACGGCCCTGGGCCGCGCAGCGAGGAGCCTGCTGTCCCGGCTCCTCCTTCCGGGGGAAGGGCCGGCGTCACTCGGGGGCTACAGACCACGCTCTGGGCTGGCACAGGCGTGTCGCTCCGGCTTCACTGCTCTGCAAGTGTTGGGACCCTAGCAATGGCTGCTCTTTAAGGAGTGAGATTCCCGGGGTTTATTACGGAATGTCAAACCTCTGCGTACGTCAGTCTGTATTTCCTCTCTGGCAGAGAGGGTGTGGGTGCTGGGAGTTTCTGACAGTGCTTTCCATTTGCCCGGGGAGGGCATTCCTGCACTAGAGGAGGCGGGCTGGACTTGGTGAGGGCCGGGAGAGGGTGGGGGCGGGAAAGAGAAGCGGCTCTCAGCACGTGGCCTGGGAGAGCGCAGTTTTTGGAGCCGGACTGCCAGGCGGGAATCCTGGCTTCGCCTCTCCCTGCCCGTGACCTTGCCCTCCGTGAACCTCAGTTTCCTCATCTGTAAAATGGGCACAAGGGCAGTGCCAGAACCCGGCTATTTCGAGGATCCAGTGAGAAGTTCAGGGAAAGCCCGGAGCCCCGGGCCTGGCCCTCGGGAAAAGCCGGGCGGGTAGTACTCGCTGCCAGGCGCCCTCGGAGCTACCGGGACGCTCAGAGACCGGGCGGGTTGTGGCCAAGGGGAAGGCAAAGGGCATTTCTGAATCCCCCCCATTTCGTGCGTAGGAAAAGGGCTTCCTGTTTCTGTGGCTCACTATTCTGGAGCCGATGGTGCCAATTGCTTGCGCTTTTCCTGAAGGTCAACAGGAAAGGCGGTCCCCAGGGAGCTGGGCAGCTTTCAGAGGTAAACGCACCCCCCGTCCCGCCCACCCCCATCCGGTGGGAGAGGCCGGCCCTACCCACAGCCCAGACCCAGGGCCACCCAGACCCCAGGGCCAGACCCAGGGCCACCCAGACCCCAGGGCCACCCAGACCCCAGGGCCAGACCTCAGGGACACCCAGACCCCAGGGCCAGACCCAGGGCCACCCAGAGCCCAGGGCCACCCAGACCACAGGGGCACCCGGACCCAGGGCCACCTGGACCCAGGGCCACCCAGACCCCAGGGCCAGACCCAGGGCCACCCGGACCCAGGGCCACCCAGACCCCAGGGCCACCCGGACCCCAGGGCCAGACCCAGGGCCACCCGGACCCAGGGCCACCCAGGCCCAGGGCCACCCAGGCCCCACAGAGGCCCAGACCCCAGGGACACTCAGACCCCAGGGCCACCCGGACCCCAGGGCCAGACCCAGGGCCACCCGGACCCAGGGCCACCCAGACCCAGGGCCACCCGGACCCCAGGGCCACCCGGACCCCAGGGCCACCCAGACCCCAGGGCCACCCAGATCCCAGGGCCACCCAGACCCCACAGACGCCCAGACCCCAGGGCCACCCAGACCCCAGGGCCACCCAGACCCCAGGGCCACCTGGACCACAGGGCCACCTGGACCCAGGGCCACCCAGACCCCACAGATGCCCAGACCCCAGGGACACTCAGACCCCAGAGCCACCCAGACCCAGGGCCACCCAGACCCAGGGCCACCCAGACCCCAGAGCCACCCGGACCCCGGGGCCACCCAGACCCAGGGCCACCCAGACCTCAGGGACACCCAGACCCAGGGCCACCCAGATCCCAGGGCCACCCGGACCCAGGGCCGGGGCGACGCTCACTCGCGCAGCAGCAGGTCCTTGAAGTGGATCATCTCCGCCATCACGCGGGTGTTGTCCCGGGCGGCCGCGCACAGGTCGTGCTTGAGGTAGCATTCACGCTGCAGCTGCAGCACCATCTCCCGGATGGCCGGGCACTTCCGGCTGATGCAGCCAAACCGGTGCCGCAGGGCGTGCGCCTTGCAGCGCAGCGCGTCTTTGATGAAGGACTTGCCCTGCGGACGGAGCACAGGCGAGAGAGGGGGTGGGAGACGGGAGGCCCGGTCACACGTGCGTACAGGGGCCCCGGGGCTCACCCAGGGCGTCTGCCCACTGCACCCCAGACCCTCTGGCAGGGGGCAGGCGGAGGCTTTGCCCCGAGGAGCGTCCAGAGCGGCCGGATGCCTCTGGCGTTTGCCACAGGCCTGCCTCCTTCTACTGGGTCCCTCCTGCGGGGGCTGTGGGAGCCGCCTGTCCCCCGAGGCAGGCAGGCCAGGGTGGCTGCTTTGTGGCAACTTTCCTGGGACACAAGGGGACGGAGATCCCAAACTCCTTGATGGTTCCCAGCAAGCGTTTCCCCAAGTGGGAGGTGCCTGCTTGTCCAAATCTTCCGCTGTTCACCCCTCTGTCCTCTGAGCCCCGGAGTGACATCGAGGGGGGCCGCCCACCGGGCCTGTCCTGCCTCCGTGCCTCCCGGCACCCCAGCACACACGCCCGGCTCCCCATCATCCGAGGAGCATCCTTTTCCTTCCTGCAAGTGATGCAAGGACTGAGGATGGCTGCCTCTGAAAGGCCGGCCTGGCACCCGGCCTGGTAGCATCTGGCCCGGCAGCCCCTCCCCCCGGCCTGCCTGTGAGCCCAGCGTACATCTGGCCCTCTCTCCTCTTTCCTGGCAACCAGGGGGGCGCTCTGCTCCTAGAAAGGAGACAGCTGTTGGGGGTATGGAGGCGCGCGGCCTGCAAGTCAGCTCCCTCACCAGCCTCGGGGGCACAGGGGCATTGTGGGATACCACCCCGCCATGCCGCACCCCCTTTCCCCTAGAAACGAGCTGTCCTTGAGAGGTCACCCCTGGTTTTAGCCAGGCCCGGGAGGAGCGGTGTTGGGGTTGGGAAGCCAGCCAGCATGTTCATTCCGGTTCTCTCCCCCCGAAGCCACCGAGAGGGCTACGGATAGCAGCATCTCATCTCTGCACACCGCCCGCTGCCCCCCGCCCCCCGCCCCCCGAGCCCCTGCCTCTCCGGGGCCTCGCGTGGGGGAGGGCAGGGCGTGCCAGCTCGTGGAGTCGTCCTGCACTGAGAAGGGGCTGGGAAGGGAGGCTTCTGACCCGAGAACCGAAGGGGAGATGCATGTGGCGAGGGCTGTGGCAGGCTGTCCTCCCCCGGCTCCTCCCTGGCGTCCCAGGGAGACACAGCCCTTCCGCCGGATTTCCCATGGTGCTGCCTGATCGCCCTGAGCCCCGCGGGGCCGAGTTAGCAGGGAGCCTCCGGGAGCTCAGAGGCACGGGGCCTGGGGGTTTCTGTTTCCCTCCGGCCGCCCCACATCCTCGGCCGGGTAGCCTGCCAGCCGGCCGCATCCCTCTCTGCATCCCAGGCCCTGCTCTGTCCGGCTCCCCACAGGGTGGCAGGCGATGGTGATGGCCACGTTTGTCCATCACCCGACACCGCTGGCCCCATCCTAAGGTTGTCCTCACCCTCCGGGGACGTGGGAGAGGAGGTTTGTGAGAGACGATGGCAGAGGGTGTCACGTGGGTCTGGAGCAGCGTGAGGAACCTTTTTTTTTTTTCCTTCTGCCAAGGACCGTTCGGATATTTATTACATCGTCGGAGGGCCGTACAACATTGTCACCTTAGAAGTTAGCCTGCTGAGTCTGGTCAAACATTTAATTAGCCCATCCCTTGGCAGGGCCAGACGGAATGACTTCCCGGGCCTTCTACGGCCCGCGGGCCGGACGTTCCCCACCCACCCCCGGCCTAGAGGCGGGCGAGGACACGAGGACGGCGAGCCTCACGCCATCGGAAACGCATCCGGGCGGTCAGCACGGGGGCCACAGGCGGCCTGCGGGCTCTTTCCCGGCCCCGTGTGGCCGGGTTTTCCCTCGGGAGCTGGCACCGCCAAAGTGGGTCAGGCCCTGCCTATATTTATTATATGGAGCAAAACACCACGTAACATGGCCCCACACGCCGTGCTGCGGCCTCTCAGGCTGGGAGCGGAGGGGCTGCTGGTGTGGGGGCCCCGGCTTTTCCATGCTGCCTGCTCCCACACCCACGAGGGGGAGTGCGGGGGGATTTCCCCCGGGGCTGTGTCTCCTGCAGAATAACGTGGAATACATAATCGACTTCTCCGCCCTCAACCTCATGCCCCTAATGTGATGGGCCTGACATCATGAGCCTCCTTGCGGGCTTTATGGTGACCTTTGTCTTCTTGGCTAAGACACCTTAGGTCTGTGGTCGGCACACTGCGGCTCGAGAGCCACAGGCGGCTCTCTGGCCCCTTGAGTGTGGCTCTTCCACAAAATCCCACGGCCCTGGGCGAGTCTATTTTGAAGACGTGGCGTTAGAAGTTTAAACTTCTTATTTGGCTCTCAGAAGAAATTTCAATCGTTGTCCTGTTGGTATTTGGCTCTGCTGACCAATGAGTTTGCCGACCACTGGCCTAGATGACAGCTCCAGAGAGTAGCTGTCCAGGGCAGGAGCGGGAGACACTGCCCCCGCTGTCCACCTACCCTGTTTCCCCGAAAATAAGACAGTGTGTTATATTAATTTTTTTCTCCCAAAGTTGTGCTAGGTCTTATTTTCAGGGGATGTCTTATCTTTCCATGCCCTAGGTCTTATTTTCGGGGAAACACGGTAGAATGCCGCTTCCAGGTGACAGAACGCACCACGGCTGAGCTGCAGAGGAAACCTGTCTGGTTGGCATGTCTTTCCAATCACCATGTCATCCGTGACGCCCCAACCCCAGGCACGCTCGGCTCCTTAAGGCTTTTTTTACCTGGGCGTCGAATTTCCCAGCGTTGTGCAGGAAAGTCATGCAGATCCCGTGCAGGCCCCGGATCTCACACGAGTTGTTCTCGAAACACTCAAACACGCCACAGCCCACATCGCCAGCGCCGACCAAGCAGTGCTGGATCCCCGCTGAAATGAGAGTTACACACGGGTCTAGGCGGCATCCTCAGCACGCTGCGGGAGGCAGAGGGGTTAGTTGAAATAAAAGTAACGACAAAAATAAATAAATAAATAAATAAATTAATTAATTAATTAAGCGGGCAAAAAGTTAGCATGAACATTTCCGGATCGAGAAAGCCAGGGAAAGAAAATGTCACCATTTATTCTACTTACGAGAAATAGCCGTGGTTGTAAATATTTGTAAAAAAAAAAAAAAAAAAAAATTAGCCAAACCTCTGTTACAAAGAGCCCAATCGGAAGTTGGGTCTGAGCACCTCACTTTTCACCCTCCCTCCCCATCTCATTCAAGTGCTTGTGGGAGTTCTCCGCTTGGGTTCAGCTTTCTAAAGCCACAAGGCCTGATTTCAAAGGAGCAGCCTGCCCCTCTGCAGGCTACCCATGAAAAATGCCTCAGTCTCTACTTGGGAGCCCCCTGACCCCCAAAGGAGAGCATCCAAAGAGCACTTTCAGTTCCGCTTTATGATTCAACACCTAAAAATCAAAACCAAATCCCAGCGCCTCCAAACCATGGCCTTAGCAACCTCAGGCACGGGACCTCAGGTTTGGGAGCAGGCTGAGCATGGCACAGAGTCAGAGGGGGGCTGGCCTGCAGAAGCAGCCTAGCAGCCAGAGACCCCTTGTGTTTAGTTACTTTTTGTATATTTTTATTGACTTCGGAGAGGAAGGGGGAGAGAGAGACAAACATGAATGATGAGAGAGGATCACTGATCGGCAGCATGGGCCAGAAACTCCTTTTAAATAGAGATCTGGCTGAGATGTCACTTAATCCCCTAGATTTCCAGAGACCAGGACTGGGACCCCGGGGGCTCGCTCCCTCCTTCCAAAGTGTGGCCCAGGGCCTCCACCTGAAAGGGCAGACTGAGGGAGCTAACTGTCAGGCTGCCAGTCCAAGCTTCTGCATGGTCTTCAACCACAAAATTACACCCAAAAGGTGTATTTTGGAAGAAGGAAGGGGTAGAGTGGATAATGCGCATTCAGTTTAAAGCTGCCGAGAGAAGGAGGGACGTGCATTTGTGGAGGGTCACCCAGCTCCCAAGAGGACGCTCCATGTTCAGGGAAAGAGCTGGTGCGGGGGGGGGGGGGGGCAAGGGTGGGCGAGGGTCCCAGGAGGGGGTGCGCGTCCCGCACGATTCCTCCCCGCGCCGGGCAGGAGCGCGCAGGGCCGATCCGCTCGCCCGGGGAGCTCCTAATGGCACGGCCGCCCTGAGCGCACACCCGTAGCTGCGGGGCTCGCAGGTCCCTGATGGGGGAGGAACCGCCTCCAGCCTAGGAGACAGGGCAGATCTCCCTGCTCTCCCGGAGCCGGGAAGGGCCAGCCCGTGTCCCGCACGCCGGGCTCCGCTTGGCAGCTCGCCGTGAGCCCGGAGCCGGCGGGCAGGGGCGGCCACTGCGGGGCCGGGCCGGGGCCGGGGGGCCGTTCCTGGCTGACCTGCCCCAGGCGGGGCCGGGGGCCGAGGAAGGAGGCTGTGCACCACCCCCACCCGCGTTCCCCAAAGTTCGCCAAGCAACGTCTCGCCTGCAAAGTTCTCGGGCGTCAGGCATCTTCTGAGGAGAGGAGAAGCGGAGAAGCCTCTCCCTCCCCACCCCCACCCCGGTGCAGGGGGACCCCGTGCCTCCGGCGGGACGGCCGGGAAGCTCGGCCCCGGCCCGGGGAGCCGGGTGGGCACGGGCCGGGCGGGCGCTGCCTCCTTCACCCTCGGCCCGGCGGCCGGGAGGCGGCAGCAACAAGTCCGCCCGGCGATTTCATCACCCGCCGCCCGCACGTGCGGCCCGACCGGCCGAGCCCCCGCGCCCTCCGCTCCGCACGCCGGCCGCCCGGAGCTCTGCGCGGCCCGGGCGCCCGGCGGGGTCCCCCGCCCCCCGGGGCGCCTCTTACCTGTGTTCTGCAGGGACAGGCGGCCTTTCTGCGGGGAGCCTCGGTCCTGGGGGCCCTCGGGCGGGTGGGTCGCGTCGGTGCCCCGCGCCGGGTCCAAGGCGGCCAGCACCAGAGCCAGGGTCACCAGCCGGCCCAGCCGCTCGGCACTCATCCTTCTCGGGGGCAAACCTCCCGCCGGAGACCTGGGATCTCTGTGCTCCCCTCCCCCTCTGCCTCCTCCGGGGCCGCTCCTCCTCCTCTCACTTTCCTCCTCCTCCTCCTCCTCCTCCTCCTCCTCCTCCTCCTCCTCCTCCTCCTCCTCCTCCTCCTCCTCCTCCTCCTCCTCCTCCTCCTCCTCCCCCCCCCGCGGCCGCGGCGGGAGCTACCCTGCGCCCTCCCGTAGCTCCCCGGGGAGCATGTGACCAGGCCGCGAGCGGCGCCGCGAGTGCCGGCGGCGGCGGGGATGGAGCTCCGATGCCCCCGGCGGCTCCGGTGTCACTGAATGAAGGAGCCGAGCAGGTGTTGTCCCGGCGGCTGCACCAATCCGGACCCCGGCCCGTGACACCGCGGGGCGGGGCCTGCGCCGGCGACTGCGCCCGGCGGCCGCTCCGCGCGGGGCGCGCCGCGAAGTTGCGGACCTGCCGGCCGGCACGCGTGTGCGTGCGTGTGTGTGAGTGTGTGTGTGTGTGTGTGTGTGTGTGAGAGAGAGAGAGAGAGAGAGAGAGAGAGAGAGAGAGAGAGAGAGAGAGAGAGAGAGAGAGAGAGAGAGAGAGAGAAGTGCGGCCGGGAGGCGTGCGCGTGTGCGGGGGCTGCAGGGCAATGGCCGGACCGGCTTCAGGACAAAAGCGAGTGCAGCTCCGGTTGCAGTAAAGCCAGGCGAGCGGGGAAGGTCTGTCCCGGGGAAGCGTCCCCGGCCCCGGCGAGCTGCACGCACCGCGCGGGCCCGGAAAGTTTCCTCTCCGCCCGGGAGAGACCAGCCGGCCTGGGACCGGCTGGCGGCGGCTCCTGGACGCAGGGATGCTGAGGGCACTGGGCACAGGGGAACCCCTGCGTTGGGCGCTTTGCCTATCCCCCTGCGAACTGTTCAGGAGCAGAAGCCCCCGATGTGGGACTCGGCCCAGCAGCTGCCCGCCCTCCCTCCTCCCTGGCCCTGCGGAGGGCCGTGCAGCGCGGCGGCCGCCCGTTCTCCCTCTCCCCCGTCCAGGCGGATTCCGGGCGGATTCCGGCTGCCGGGGCCCAGGTGACGGACGGTTCTCGCATCGCTTCCACGTTGGGGCAGGGCGGCCCGGCGGCGCTGAGTGAGGTCCGAGCTCGAAGGCAACTTTACGCTTCCATTTCCCCCAAGCGCCGCTCACCATCCCGCCCCGGTTCCCCAGACTCTCCGGCCGCCTCATGGAAATGGTTAAAAAAAAATAAAATAAAATAAAATAATCCCCACCCCCACGAAGCCCAGGAAACCCGCCCCATCTTCTCTCCTCCTGGTAGAGCTCCCTCCCCAAGCACGCCCCCCGCCTTCCCCTCCAGGGCGCACGGGCGCGGGGAGAAGTTGGGCGCCCGGAGGGAGCCTCTCCCCGCCGTGTGTGTACGTGTGTATGTGTGTGTGTGTATGTGTGTGTGTGTACGTGTGAATGTGTACGTGTGCTCGCTCACGTCTCCGCGCCGGCGCCGGCGGGGCAGGAACTGCTGGGCCCGGCAGCCGCGGTGCGCTGGGGGGCGCGGGGCTGGGGAGGGCCCCGCCCCGCCCTCCGGCCGGAGCACAGGTGAGCCCGGTGCGCGCCCCCGCCCCCGCCCCCGCCTCCCGCTGCGGTAACGCCCGGGCAGGTTTCATCACCCGCCGCCCCGGCGCTGGTCCCCGGTCCCTGCTCCGCCGCAGGACGCAGGGCCGCCGCCTGGGCCCCATGTGACGGGCGGGCGGGGGAGGGGTGCGGAGACGTGCCGGCCGGGTCGTCCTCTGGCGCCGTGCCGCTCGCAGAGCTCCCCTCCCAGAGGCACAGGCGGAGGGGGTGAGGGGGAGCGGGGTGGCCACCGCCGGCTGCAGCTGGCCACCAGTCCAGTGGCCTGAATCGGGCGGAAGGAGAGGAAGGGGCTAGGAAAGACCCCTTCTGAATGCGCTCTTACCCCAGCCACTGGCCACCACCCGGCCCGACTCTCAGAGCTCCAGAGAATGGCCACTTTAGAGGCCTGAGCCTGCAGCTGTGGCAAGAAACGGACCCCTCACGCCCATGTTCCAGTAGCCATGACCTCCCGCAGCCTGGGGTCTGCCGTGGGAGCAGTGGGGCGCCTGCAGGAACGCAGGTGGTTCGTGTCTGCGAACCTGCTTTTGTTTGCACAGCGAACAGGCTTCCTTTATCCCTGAAAAGCCAACTCCTGGGAGCCTAAGGAGCAGCGCCTCTGGCCTCTCACTGACCCATAAGCCCCTGAATGGCTTGGGGGGCTTCCCTGCCTGTTTCATATGTGAGATCATGAGCACCATGGGCATTCACAGGGCACTGGCCGCCTGGCTCTCGGAGCCACAGCAGCAGAAGCAGTCAGTCTGGGGGGCCCGGCCTCCTTTGCTGGGGGCAGACCCCCACGTCCGCTTGATGGAAGGCGCTGAGGTTCCCAGGCCTCGGGCTCCTGCTTCCTCCGGCCTCGGCTTTGTCCTGCCTTGGCCACCGCCACCCCCTGGGACTTCCCTCAGGATTCACACCCATCTCCAGCTGTGCCCCACATCTGTGTCTCTCACTGAGCCCACGGCCCCTGGAGAAGTGAAGGCACATGGCTGCTGGACTCTGAGGAGTTGCAAGCACAGGCGTTGGCTCCTGCGGTTTTCCCTCTGGGCCCCTTGGCGGGGGCCTGGCAGGCAGAGGAGAAACCCCCCAGCCAGCCCACTGGAGCAGGGAAAATGCTGTGGAGTCAGTTAGGCCACAGGCCTGGGGGCAGGGGAGGATAGGGTGGCCCAGAGTGGTGAACTGGTCACGATCTCGCACCCTCGTTCTGTCCACTCTGGAACTCAGGCCTGGTTTGGCAGAGTGGCTGGTGGGAGCGGGAGTGGAGGGGGACGGTAATCACAGTAACACGGTAGTTATTCCTGCAGACGCGAATTGGGAACAGACACTGTGCCACACACGGAGCTCCCGGCTTTGGCATCCGCCCTCCGTGGGAACGGAGACTTGGGAGGAGCCAGGCCGGGCCGGCTGGGGTTGCCCTGAGAGTCAGCAGGGAGTCTGCGGGATCAGCCCTCCTCACTGTGAGACCCCACCAGCCTTAGCAGGACGAGGCAGACCTGTCGGACACCCCAGGGCTTCTGTGGCTGAGGCGTGGGACCCACACTTTGCTCGATAACTCCGATTCACCAGTTAAAATCTATCAGGCCCGTGGTCGGCAAACCGTGGCTCGTGAGCCACATGCGGCTCTTTGGCCCCTTGAGTGTGGCTCTGCCACAAAACACCACGGCCTGGGCGAGCCTATGTTGAAGAAGTGGCGTCAGAAGAAGTTTAAGTTTAAAAAATGTGGCTCTCCAAAGAAATGCCCATCGTTGTCCTGTTGACATTTGGCTCCGTGGACTAATGAGTTTGCCGACCACTGAGCTAGGCACTTCACGAGCAGGTCTTGGGGCAGAGGGAGCCTGGGCTGGATGCTGACGAGGAGGCAGGTGTAAGGGAAGGAGAGGGCACCCGGGAGGGAGAGTCAGCAGGGATCGGTGCTGCAGGGGAGGGAGGGGGGGCTTGTGCCTGGAATAGGGTTGAGTTTGGAGTTAAACTGGAAGGGGAGGTGGGCAAAGGCGTCCGGGGCAGGCGGGCAAGGGCTGTCAGGCCTTTGGGGCAGGTCTGTGCTCCCCATACAGGACCTGGTCCTCGTGACGGCATTGAAGGAGGAGACGCGAGGAAGGGTTAGCTCCAGTTCCCTTTTGGGATTCGGAAACGGGCTGGATGCGCGGATGCGGAGGAGGAGAGGAATGAGGTCTTCGTTGGCCTCCACGTGGGCTGGGGTGCCGATGGCACCGCAGGTGCTGCTGCTCAGGCGGGAGCAGGTGGGCCGTGGGGGAGGCGCCGTTGTTGGGGGGCTGTGCGTGGGGGGCAGTGACGTGCAGGTTGATGGGTGCGGCCTAGCCCAGGTTTTCTGAGCGCCAGAGCCTGGGTGGGTAGCGTGGCGTCCCCCGCGGAGAGTTCCTCCTTCTGCAGGCCCTGCCCCCCTGGGTGACTGTCTGGGCTGATGGCACCACCTCATGGTCAGCGAGGGAACTGTCTGGCCAAAAGGTGGACTCTCCTCCCTCCCTGACCGCAGGGCCTGGGGCCTCCTGCCTTCTCCTCGGCTTCCTTAGCAAACCTCTCGCCGCCACACGATGGGATTGCCCCCCAGAGAGATCCCTGTCCGGTTCTTGGCTTTTCCTCCCCATCCTTTGCTGTCTTCCCACGGGGGCCCCCCATCCACCCTCCTCACGGCTCCTTCGCGTCACGCCTGCGCGGCGGGAATGAGAACAGGCATCACCGGGAAAGTGACAGCTCCAGGCTTCGTGAAGGCGGGATCTCCAGTGCTGATGGTCCGGGTCAGGATGGGTGCGGGTCAGGGTGGCGGGGTGAGGGCGCTGTGGGTCAGAACGATGCAGGTCAGGGCGGTGGGGGTCGGGCAGCGGGGGTCCAGGACAGTGTGTGTGTGTGTGTGTGTGTGTGTGTGTTCTCCCTAAGACCTTAACACCTTGAGAATGCCTTTCTGCCAAAGAACTGAGGAGAGAGAAAACTAAAAGAGAGAAAACAAAAATCTCTCAGGGGAAAGAAACAGGAACAAAGCTAAGATTATACTCCAAAAGAAAGCCCAAGAGTATTTTCTGATTCTGCTTGTTTTTGGCAAGGTTACAAACAAAAACTAGTGGGTACGGAGATAAATTAGGCACCTGAAGCGAAAGCAAGAAGCCAGTGATCGGTGAGGGAAGGAACATGTAAAAAATAACGCAGCCCCCACCCAGGGGCAGGCAGCGGGCTGGCCCAAAGGGGGGACCTTGTGAGCAGAATGGGGTGCCTTCCCCGAGCCTGACCTTCCTTGTGGGCCTGACTGGGTGGGTGTGCAGGAGAGACGGGAAAGGGGACGCTGCTGTCCCTGGATGTGAGGAAGGGCAAGAAGAGCTAATCTCTGGAATGTGTGTGCGACACCGTTTGTTTTGTTAAAAATATATTTTATTGATTTTTTTACAGA